CATGCTCAAGTTGTATTTTTACTGGCGAAAGGGAGAAAACTAACAGTAAACCATGTTGGTTGCCGAGGAGTCGGGTTGGGACTCGCAAACAGTTGCAGCGGTTGGCAGCCGCAGAGCAGTAGCAGAAGAAAATGCGCGGATTAATGTGCCTGCAGCGCCACCTAGCTGCAAAAAAATTGGACACGGTTTCGGACCCCTCCAATGTACAGCCTCTATGGGAAGTTCCATAACTGAGTTGATCTAGTAACGTTGGTGATGCCTACTAGAATGAAGAAGTGTCACCTGCTAAGTACAAATAAGGTTACTTCCCCGTGCATTTATAGGGTTACATTCACTGATCAAGGTAAAGAAACCATGTTCACTAATATAGGACCACAATCTACCATGCCTTTACTGCCAGTGTGCATGATCCCACTTGGCCCACTTCTTCCCACTGTGCCAGAGGTTTAACAAATGAAACAGTAAGGGTGTGTGGGTCATTTCATGCAGTTTGCAGAGACTAGGGCAAAGCAAAAGAAAGGTCTTGACATAAAAGACAACCTATCGCAAGTCTTTTTTACTTCCATCAATTTTTGTATAGGTTTCTGTATGTAGAACTTGGCCATCATGGGAGCAAGAGCGATAGAGGCATATTTTCACGCTGCAAGCTTCAGGAGTGGCTGCTACAAGGCCAGGTGGGCGTGCCACCAGACCAAAAAAGTTGGGATAGAAGGGTCTATCCCTTATATTTTTTTTGTTGGCGACTAGGTGTTTCCATTGAAAATCTACATGATGTGGCCCTTTCCAAGAAAAGGTAAGTGCACTGCATTTTGGAATTTTAATTTCGCTTGAAAGAATGACCATAGTATATTATGTTGCAGGTTAAGAAGGTAGGGCGTGGGAAAGTGGGAGGAGGAAGTGGACGCAACGCTGGCGAAGGGAGGGGGTTTCCTCCTCCTCTCACCAGCTTTGCGTCATTTTCCTTCTTTCTCACCTTCCTTTCCCTCGCCATACCTTCTTGAGTTGTCACTGACCATAGCAACTGAGAGCAACCAAATTGCTAATGCACAGTTTATATTGCGATGCTGACCGATCCAAAGCGCATTTACATTTTGTATAGGCAATTTTATTTCAGTCAAAACAGAAGGTCATATAGTAAATCATAGAGGTCATATAAAAAAATCTAGAAAAGGCCCGCCACCTTCCCATGCATTTCATTGCCACTGTTGTCTGCAATCGATGTCTGCAAGTATGCCCTGCATTCGTATGGCATACAGGCAGATAATCTATGGTCCTGGTGCAGAGAGTATGGTACGTATTAGGCCTTAGGTATGCAAGCATAGGAGCACTTACATTATTGCAGATGTTAGTAAACTGTGAATTTGGGGGTAGTACAAAGGTTTTCCAGCCAAGTTGGTACTCAACATGAGCCCTTTTCACCACTTAGTACAGAGCTTTGATGATAGCCTTTCATTTGTCAAAGTTAAACCAGATGCATGATTTCATATAGGATTCCATTGCAGATTTTTCCTCAGTGGTGACGGCCGGCAGAGCGTGTCGTGTGCCTTTCGTGTTGCAAGATTCACCATGTCCCAGGCGATCGTAGAGACATCACAAGCAATATGGGACAACCTGAGGGACGAGTATGTGAAATGTCCTAGAACTCCTGAAAAGTGGGCGAACGTCGCTAGAAGGTTCCTGCAGTGCCGGAATGTCCTGAACTGCATCGATAAGTGGTGTTCCAAAACACATGCCTCGTTTACATGGTATCCATGCTTTGAATACAATTGTAGTCGGTGCTTGGGCATTTTGTTCCACTATTTTCTAATCTTTTAAAATTTATGCCCTGCTCGTTCCACAATTCATTATTATTTGGCTATGAATGACCTTTTTGACATCCAATGAGTACCAGCGTCCGAAATACGGCAACTGGATGGCATGCCTTCGCTGCACGTCAAACAAGTTATGTTGCACGAGCATGCAAGCTAGGAAGGAGCCAGGAGATGCATGCCAGCTATCAGGTAAGGAGATGTCAAACAGAAGTACCACATGCACAGAGGATTACAGCATGAGCATGAATCGTAGGCAATTATCTCATGGAAATCAATCTATTGTCTACTTTGCCTACATCAGCCTCACTTTATTGTTTGCCTTTCAGATATGAAGCTGAAGGGGAAATTCGTCCACTTTTCTGTTTGCAAGAAGTATAGACGACAAGCCCATAACTGTCGATGCCTCTTGTAACTCTGGCTCCGAGAATTTTAATAATGAAGGAGCCTTCACTAGGATCCTTTTAGCGATGTGCGACTTGGCATAGAAGCTTTGTAGGTGTTGGCGGCTGTGGTGGAGGGAGCGACGATGGAGTGTTATGAAGGTGCGAGCTCCCTGGCGCTTTCGAGTCGCAGCAGCTGGGAGTCTCCGAACCAGTTGTGCTTCCAGGAGACAACGTCGCCCCATACGTGATCCTTGGGAGACGAGGCATTTCCCCTAAAGCCATACCTTATGCGGCCCTATTTATGCCAAGTGCTTCATAATATTGGATGCAAAAAGAATTTATAACTACATATAATAGGCTTCCTCATGGAAGGCACATAATCGAGAATGCTTTCGACATTCTTACGAGCAGGATTAACGAAAATGTCAACAAATATGTGCTTGCACCTGTGGCGTCGCATAACTTTTGATGACTTTAGATGAAGAGAAAAACAGTAATTGTCGTCCAACGTGTGTAGATGCCAAAGCGTGGAACGGAAATCTGGTTGCAGGGGAGTGGAGCAAGGAAAACGGCGCCCTACCAATTTTTTCTGCAGGTTGGGGTTCAACAAACCCAGTAAATTATCTAGCAAGTTTGCGAAAGCTTCAAAGACTATTGCATAAGTCGTGGGAGGGTGGAGTGGCAGTTGAAGTGCATTCACAGAAATGCTTCTCGGGTGAAGGCCACGACTCCACAATAAAGCATATTGGGGGCCAGAAAAAACCTTTGCCTTTATATTGTAGCTAGTTATTTGTAGATTCGTTTATGCAAGTATTATCTGAGAGAGTAGACTCGTTTATACAAGTATTTTATATTGTAGACTCATTAACCTGAGTATTTCAAATTATTATTTTAAGATTTGTACAGACTCTGTTTTATTTTAGTATGTATTAAGTGACATTGCCCTGTTTAAACTTTTATTCTTTTCTTAGCATGCTTTTGCGATTTTTTTCAAGCACAAGGCAATTGCAGTGACTGTCTTACCCATACTTCTAGGGCAGCATATAGTATTCTTGTTAGTTAGTTTCGGCCTACGATGCACGTCAGAGCCATGCAGCACACGACTTCTAACTGACCTGTGATCGGACCTGGGACCAGCAACTCTGGCTCAAGTCTATTGTGTCATAGGGCAAGACAAATTATAGCACTTTTAACCTTTTGTGTATCTTGCTGCCTCTATAACATGTAAACAGCCCCTCTAACTCATTCTGTGATAATAAAGGTATAGAAGATGTGCACTGTTCAAAACTTATAAATCTGAGACATTGTTCAATTATCAGTACTTTTATTGACACCATAGGTTTTAAGAGGATGAACCTCCGCACTTGCTGACCACAGAGCAACAATAATAAATCAAGAAAAATAGGATGCACACTATGCAATGACTGCACAAGGAAACACACAAACAAAAAGATGAATGTACATATAGGCAACACAACAATATTCACAGAGCAGTTTGTAGACAGGAACAATGCACTTCCATGCAGACAACCAAAATAGACGAGTGACGACACAAAATGGCCATGCAAGATGACTACATGGTTATCTACGGCAGTGGTTCTCCAATGGGGGTTTGCTAAACCTTTAAGGTCCCTGAAGGCCTTTCCGGGGTTCCCGAAGCCCTCAACCAACCATCAGTCAAGCCGAGTAAGAAAACTTTTTTTTATTGATGCTGGCTGTCCCACAAAGCTAAATAGACCAAACCATGCATGCCAAGCATGTAGGGTTGATTATTCTCTGTTTCAGAGCTTTAGAATTGGTTTGCACGCATTTAGTTGTTTTTTTGTTTTTTTTTTTCCTCATTTATCTGGTGTAATAGTTCAATACCCTCCCCCTCACCCGCCCGACGGATGGCGACCCCATCACATCTGCCAATCCAGCAGGGGTCCTCCAAAGCATCAATGGTTGAGAACCACTGATATATGAACTAGAGCATATTGCAGTGTCCTTGATGCTTTAGACATAAATTAAGCTATGAACATGTAAGCACATCATTATCATCAAGAGTAATGCTATACACACAACGTGCACAGTGACCGGAAATGGCTATACGCATATGGTGGGGAGGGGGGGGGGGGGGGGGGGGCCAAGACTTGGGTAAATCTGCCTAGGTGAATCATGTACTAAATTTTAGCGGCATACAAATTTGATTACACTTAGTAAAAACAAATACAACATAAAAAAACTTTTATAAAACAGCTTGTCAAAGATGTGGCGTAGCTCTGTGGTAAATGCGCCTGCCTCACAAGCAGAAGACCCAGGATCAAATCCCAAGGGCTGCAGGCATTTTTTTTTAAAATCGTAAACGCCCTACGCTAGTGACATTTTTTCGTTGACAACGTTCTGCATTGTTGTGGACAAAACATCGCATAATGATAGGGAGCCGAAATCCACCACTAAATTAACTATAAATGGCATGAGCTCCCTACATAGTCCATATTGGCATTTTAGGTAGAGGTGCACGATGGCATGCCTATTGCATCACTCTCTTATCAAATTGCACAAGTCCGCAAAAGATTCTTTTGACTAGTATATGAATAGCATTTTTTGTGCGTTAGCTTAAATAAAGTTTCCGTGTAAACATGTAAAAAAAAAAAAAAACTTTCAGCCTTTCCTTTCTGGTGAAGAAGGAAGAGTGGCAGAGCTGTAGCTTCTGTTCTCAGCGGTGGTCTTCCAGGCGAGCGATCTGCTCTTCTTTCGCAAGAGAATCTGAAGCGCTCGACGCAGTGGAACTTTAGGCGATAGCGGCCTTGCGGCGATTCCGGAATCATTCGCGCTGTTGCGCACATCGCCGCTCGTTCTGTTCCTGCTCTCCTTCCTTTGAAGAAATGCTGCTGCCATCTATGAGCAACGGCAGCAACCAGTTGTCTGGTTGCTGAGGCTGGAAAAGTTGCCGCGATCTATGAGCGACGGCAGTTAGCAGACAACCGGCAAACGCAACACTCTCGACAGCTAACACCAACTATGAGCAACAACCAGAGTGTTGTGTTGACCACAAGTGTCGACATTTGTTTGGTACTGGACACAATCCTAGGGAAACTAGACCTTAAAGGACACATGCCTAGGGAAAAAACATTTTTAAACAGCCTAGATGGAAAAGGATTGTCATAAAAGAAATTTACAACCAAGGAAAAAAAATTTTAGAGCTATATTTACGGCGCAAAACGAATTTGTAGTTGGTGCCCACGTGAGCCCCCACGGGTGGGCTCTAAAAGTTACTTATTAATTTTCATTTTTTGTTGCACTTAAACAAAGATGAATAAGTAACTTTTAGAGACCATAGGAAGCTTCCGAAAGGGCGCAAGTACCACGTGACAAATAGCGGCCAGTCCCGTGACGAGTAGCGACCACTTTTCTGCGGCGCCAACAACAAATTTGTACAGTGCCGTAAATATAGCTCTAAAAATTTTCATTTTTCATTGTAAATTCGTTTTATGAGTTCCTTTTCGCAACCAGGCTGTTTAAAATAAATTTATTTTTCCTTTGTATGTGTTTTTTAATAGCTCTGCTGTAGAAAGACACTATCAGTGATTGAAATATTGTAACAAATATACTTGTGACTACTATTTTGCAATACGAGCCATTTACACTGTACATGGTTCATACTGCAAAATGATGCCCTGTAGATTCTACAGGGTGAGTCAAAGGGATTGATTTCTGTTTGAAGATACCGCACAAATTGGTTTGTGAACCAATTTGTGCAGTTTTTTAGAGGTGGCCAAAGAATTGCATTAAGGGTTTAAACATTTCACTGAACATACATACTTCAGTAAAACGTTACAAACGAAAAATGTGAAATCCCTACCTACAGCGTATGATTGGCACAACAGCCGACAGATGGCAACTCGTAAGATTGCAGGCGGTATGCTTGAGCTGTGTCGCGGTTGCAGATGATAACACGGCATATGGGGTGCAAATCATCCTTATGGTGTGCTTAGCTCCCTACTAGCAGCATTCTAAAACGATAGAATGACCGTGCATGCCTAGTTGTGAATCAGTCGCTTACAGGTGTCGGAAGGGTTGAGGCGCACTGGTGCCGAGCTTCGCATACAACCTTCCAAATGGTTTCACTATGCTGCCGCAAATCTCTCTATTGCACAACTCTGGAAGTGCAATAGTGTATTAATTAAAAAGTAAACTTAATAGAAAAACTGCAATTTAAATCCCTCATGGCTCCCCAGGTACAGAGATAGTCAGGGAAGTCACAGCATATTCTTGGGTTGGAAGCAGATAAAACTTGGTGAGCACTGATTTTATCATCTGTGTATGCTGCCATAGATTGCCCAAAAAAGGTTTTTTTCTTTCTCAACGAGAAGAGTTTCTCGGGTAATATCTTCACTTGAAAGCTTTGACCACCTAGTCGCATCTCTGTAGTAAATCGCAGCACAATACAATGAGACACCGATTTTTGCGGGTGGGTTTAGAGTGTTGGTGTACTACTGCAGCCAATATGAGCTGAAACGCCGCTCCACGTGGCACGCAGAGTGTACTATCGCAGCCAATACGTATGAGCAGAAACGCCGCTCTACATAGCGCGCATTACTATCAAACCTGCCTATCGCATTTTTCCGGAAATTATGATATACGCTGAGGCCAACACAGCTCCCCTCCAGCACTCGTTGTGCCACTCTGCAGTTGACATCTGCTACCGAGACGGCAGTTCTCAACTGTAGCAGGACTGTCTGGATCGATGCCTAAATTGCCAGGGTTTCTCTATGGTCCCGCTCTAGTGGGAAAGGGTTCACCCATACAGATGCGACAAGCTAGCGTTTCTCCTCGTCCCTGCTAGCTTGAGAACGCCTTTCAGGTGGTGCATTTTCAGGTCAATCTTCATCCCCGAAGGCGAAGGTCACTAACGACCTTCTCTATACTATTGCCCTTTGCCAACACTCTTTAATGCTTAGATGTCGGACACACTTCCATCGTCCCTCTCGAACTTCTTTAGTATGTTTCTGGCAAATGCAGAAAGACTTTTGTGTTTGAGCAACTCAACTTAGGGATGATTTTTGCGTGATAAGTTGGGGCTCTGCAGAAATTGTTTAGATGAAGTTTGCAATAGATTTATGCTGTGTCAGGCGTAGGTTTTACGGTTCGACTAAACGAAAGGGCGCCGCCTCCACTTCCTTGTTAACAGACGACACGGAAGTGCAGTGTGGCGCAACGAGTGTTGGGGGGGGGGGGGGGGGGGGGGGGGGGGGTTGTCTGAGCGTCGGCGTAAATGAGTTTCCAAAAAACTGAGATCTTGTGACTCTGATAGTACCGCGCACCATGCATAGCAGAGTTTCAACTCGCATTGGCCGGAATAGTACATGCTGTAGGATGCTGATGTTAGCACTCTGGTATGTACTGAACTTCGAACAGTGCTGCGTGGCACTTGTGCATTAATTTGTCTTTTTTTTTTTATCACTTAGACGTTTTGATGTCTCTGCCATAAAACCAAAAGATGTTGCACCAGTGCACAGGGTCCTGACGTGCCACTGTTTGCATAGCCTTGACATATGCCTCTTTCACTGCACCTATATCATCACATGGTTAGGCTCCAGTCTCCTGCCTGAGAAAGAGTGAGCAATACAGTGTTTGACATCTCTGTGTAAAAGCCTTTGTACACATAGTACATCATTTCTGACTGTTTTGAATGGCTGCAAACAATACTAGGAATATTGAAAAAAACGTTATTGGTAGGTGCCACTGTACACTATCACTTCCTAACATAAGAAGGTCTGTTACTTGAAACATGCCTCCTTAACATCTTGCGGACCTTGTTTGAAAGAAATGCATCATGTAAGGCACATCAGATTAGGAAAACTGTGCAATAGCTTGCAATACTTATAAACACCTTGCCTGCAGCTGATTCGCATAATGCTGAATGTTCCTAAATTTTTTATAGCAGGTCAATCATATACCTAAAAATTCCCAGTAGTTTCTTTTTTGGCATGATAGATTATACAAATGTGAAATTAAAATGATGGTAGCAATTGCTGGCCACTATTCCATTGAGTTACATGTATTGCTTTCTAGGATAAAAAAAAAATGTCCTTGCAAATTCTTCAAACTTCTGCCTAAGTGGACCCCCCCCCCCCCCCCCCCCCCCCCCCAAAAAAAAGTTATCCTACAGCATTTTTACAGTTACTGTCTTTGCAACCACCAGGGGAACGAAAAGGACACACATTTTATGACAAAGTGAAAGGAAACCTAACTAGACTACTTTTTTAAAACACCCGAGACATGGTGAAAATATGGGAAGAGTATCTTCACTTGCTAGCCTCAAATGTTTAGACAGGAATGTTTGTACAGCTAGTGGTAAATTCATCGATACCACGAGTGCCAAACTGCTGCTCTTTGTGGTTCCAAGTGCAGCTTGCTGCTCCCTGGTGAGCATTGCCCCTTCGCCCCTTCCTGTTTCCCTCAAAACAGAAAGAAAGACAGAATTCCATTTTAGCCTCCTTGTGCCATCATGCATACACACATCAGACCAACCGGGTCAGTGGCCGCCTCACCATGCATGCACTTTTTGTTTCTCAGTTTAAAAAATGTTTTGCCTCCCATTCTTTGCCACAGTCAAGGTCAAGGATGATGCTCAAAACCTGGATAAGGGTTATGTACTCCATATTCCATTTAAGTTTGATCCAAGCTCCAAGGTGTTGGTTTCACAAACAAAGGTTATATAAAGGATTGTGAGAAACAACATTGAGTAGCTCTTCACTTCAAATGGTTATATTTTATGGCTCTTTGCATATGTCCGTCTGACCACCATGGCCTATACTTATTGAATGCTGTAGAAGAGCAATTTAGCAAGTACAGTATGGCTGCCAGTCTGGAGGCAATGCAGGAGGTGAATCCATGACTGTAGGCCAGTACAATGCTGGATCATATTGAAACCCCCAGAGGCGGGGATTGAGCCCGGGATCCCCAGGTTCTATCTGCACTGTGAGCATTCACTCCTTGTGCTACAAGGTAAAGTATGTTAAATGTACTACCGTGCCACCAATCCCCCATCTATGGCCCTTATTGAATGTGTGCGAGTTTCTTTCATGAAGGTATTATTGCAGGCAGTGCTTGCATACCTGCCAGTTTTTTAAACAGCTGTGGTTTAGTCGAGGAATGGAATGCAAAGTTGAAGTCCCATACTCTGTACTTTGTGAGAAATTGATGGCTACTAAAGCTTGTGGGGGCCACGAATGTAGAAAAAGGCAGGATTGGTTGTTTCACCTCATATACGGTCTGCGGGGGTGCTTTCATGGTGCTGAGCTGTTTTCAGCAGGATGAACAACTGTATTTGGGTAACCAATCCCTAAAGAGTCAAGACCTACTTCTTTGGTTTTGGTGGTCCACTGGAGACATTTCCTTGAGCCTGTTTTGCGGCTGGAGGCACCTGTGGCTCGGATGGATAGCTCAGCTGCTCGATGTCCGGCTCCTCTGCTGGAACCTCTCCATAACGTTGAGGGCTGTAGAAAACCAGTTTAAATTCACACTGCTGCACCAAAACACCCTGCTACATCTTCCTGCATTTTGCCTAAATATGATTAATTTGTGCTAGCATTGCAACTAAGCAGAAGTATGCACCAAATGAAAAAATAAAAAGGATGAGAGCTTTTAACTGCCACTCTAAGGAACAAGGTCACCCAAGGACACCAACACAAAAACCCAAAGCACACATCACCCCACATGTTCCCCACACATTCATAAAAAACAAACAAAGACAACTCTACCACGCTTATTGGACACAAGGGGAAAGACCGCCCAACTTGGATCAACTCCCCAACACGCACTACAAAATAATATTACGAATTTAGATAAGTTTTAGCAGGTCCGTCCAAGAGCACAGACATGATAATAAAATAGAAACCCCTGCTAGCTATACGTAAAGACTCCCTTACAAGCTTTTTGTAACAATTCTTTATCTGGAACTTTAGTCTCATTCCAAGCACAGCAATCGGAGAGCAACTAGAAACATGCTTAGCCAGCTTTGAAGACTCACTCCTATTTTATACCGCATGCTTGCATTTGCATAGCCTATCATTGAGACACCTAGCAGTCTGACCCATATAACCAGAACCATATTTCACAGGAATCTCAAAAACTGCAAGGTCACAAGCCACGGACAGTTCTCTATGCTTCCTGTTGCACACGCTTTCTGACAGAAAGGGTTTTAACTCTTTCTTCATCGCACCCATAGGCCATCGATCGCTGGTAATCGATGGTTTCCAAGCGCCGTCAAGAAATTCAATTTAATGCGGAGAACTATGTTCCACGATTTCGAAGATGGCCGAAGAACTCTAGTTTCGGTTTCAATGTAGGTTTGAGGTTTATCACAAGCTGGTAGGTTGGCAAAAATAGTCCTGGGAGCAGTGACTGCACTGTCACATCCTGCTTCTTTTCTCCCCTTTTTATTATATACCAATGATCTTACCCCCGTTCACCCAGCTGCCTCCACCTCCGAGTATACACGACTGCAGGCTGACCTCGATTGGGTTCATCTCTGGTCCATATATAACAAGCTTGCCCTAAATCAGTCTAAATGCGTCATCATGAACATCAACATCTCACGCAAGACCTCAAGTCCCCCAGCCCCCCTGCAGAATGGTGCCGGGGTTTCCCGAACAATGCTCATTTGCCTGGATTTCCGTCGTTACATTCAAGACGCCTTCAAGGCAAAGTGGGCTCTGGTTTTTGTTATCCGATCCTCAAGAGGGGCTTGCCCTGACCCTGTTCACTGCTTTGGTGCTGCCTGTCCTAGAGTTTTGCAGCTCGGTGTGGGACCCTTCATCCACCAACTCATTGCCAGGGCTGTGAAAGTTACTTCAAAAATGTACCTAAGATGCAGTTACAATTACTCATACGAAAAGGTACCTAGGTAAGTACCTCGGTACTTGCTTAAAAATGTATTTAGAGGCACAGTTCCTTCAAAGATACTTCATTTATTTATTTTCCCCAGATTTGTCAGAATATATTAGAAGTAAAGATTTTTATATTAAGGATACACACAAAAACGAGTTTGATAAATGTGCTTTATTGGTGCAATGCGAGAAATAAGGAAAACCCCATTCATATGAGCATTCCAGGACACGTCATCTTTTTTCGGTTTCAGTTTGAGATGAAGGACGCAGGTCGCTATTTTTCCTAAACAGAGTTCCGAAGCGATTCAATAAATTGGTGCCGCTGGAACAGCATCGCTAATCCATTGTTCGCTCAAATGAACACTGCCATTCGCTAAAGTGTCGTTCAATGAAACATCATGGGCGGGGCTTCGTTTGCTAAAATATCATTCGATCAAGTCAGTGCCTCCCAGGTCGTACCCAACGCGACGTTAATCACGGCACATGGTAGTGTAATAATACTTTAAGATTTATAGTTTTTACCGTTTTGTTGAAGTGAATAGAAAAGTACCTGTAAAAAGTAACTTCACATAGTTGCAAGTTACTGGAAAATGTACCTAAGATACAAATACAGATACTGAGAAATGAAAGTACTTAGGTTTGTACCTCATGTACAACAAAAGTACCTAGATACCGTTTATAGTCAATTCGTCCGAGATTTTGCAAAGATCTCTGTGCCGCTCACTGACCTCAAGAAGAACACCGTAAGGTTCAAGTGGGGAGAAGAGCAACAGCGCACATTCTATGAGCTGAAACAGAAACTCCAGACGTCTCCAATCCTCGGCCATTTTGACCCGCATGCCAAGACCGAAGTCCACACAGACGCCAGTAATATGGGACTTGGTGCGGTACTGATACAAATACAGGAAGGTACAGAACGAATGATTGCCTATGCAAGTTGGACACTCTCCAAGGCAGAGAGCAATTTCTCCAGAATGGAGGAGGATTGCATTGGTGTCATCTGGGCGATAACCAAGTTTCGTACCTACTTCTACAGAAGTCCGTTCAGAGTGGTCACAGACCACCACTCGCTCTGTTGCCTCGCGAACATGAAGGATCCGTCAGGACGCCTTGCTTGATGGAGCACTGCAAGAATTCGACAAGTCAGTGCTGTACAAGTCTAGCCTCAAGCACAGGGACGCAAACTTTCAGTCGGACCCCAAGCTCCCGCCGGCAACGACGATGAAAAGAGAGTGTTCTCTGCGCAGTCAACGTCGACGATACGGTGGCACTCCAATGAGGCAACCTTGAGCTGAGCGCACTGATCAAACATTTGGAAGGAAAAGGAAGTAGAGTCCCCTGTGTCTTGTCACAAGCCCTAGCAAGCTTCGCCGTCCGACAAGGCACTCTTTACAAAGAGAACTTCGGGGACAACAACTGGGTGTGGCTCCTGGTAACACCCGCCGATCTTCAACAGGAGATCTTCGAAGCCTGCCACGACGACATGACAGCATGGCATTTTGGCTACAGCAGGATGCTGTCACGATTCCGCAAGAAGTACTACTGGCCCAAGCTCCCGAAAACTGTCCACCAGTACACAAGGTCGTGGCACAAATGCCAACAACGCGAGAAACCACCGACGAAGCCCTCAGGACTCTTGCGACCGATCACACCGCCGACTGCCCCGTTACAGCAGATGGGAATGGACCTACTCGGGCCATTCCCTTGGGGACCTGAACTACAAGGTGCTTCCAGACGGAGCACTGTCGTCAGGACGCCACTAACTGTGACCCGAGGTGGTGCACATAGTGCGTCTAAAGCCAATTTATGTTCAATAGGACGGAGCACTATTTATGAATTAGACAACCCCGCAGTTTATTGATTGCTCTCCTTTGGTTTAGCGTAATGTTGATTTATTTGAGGTTCCATCGGGGCGATGCACTTTTAAAGGGGGAAGTAATGCAGCGTGCATGACCGAGAAAGAACGCATCTCTGTACATCTAGAAGATTTGTGTTTATTAAAGTGAAAGCGACGAAAACACGCCAAAAGTGTGTCGTCATCGGAGGTTTCATATCACCAGGACCACAGCCGGCACCACAATCCAAGTGAGCCAATAAAACGGCGCCAAAAGTGTGTCATCAGAGAGCGCGCTGTACTCGGAGGTTCGCTATCACCGGAACCACAGCCAACGCCACAATCCGAGTGAGCCAATAAAATGGAGCCAAAAGTGCGTCGTCAGAGAGTGCGCTGTCTTCGGAGGTTCGCTATCATGTTTACATCAGCGCTTGGGCTTTCACTTTTAAGTTGTCGTAGGGATAACATAAGAGACACCTTGACTTTCCTTACCCAGAGTGTAAAAGACAACGAGGCCGGACTGGCCTTGCGTCTCACCGCAGCTCACTCCCAAACTTTCAAGGTCAAATGTTCCAGAGACAGAGTGTAGTAGATAAGGAGCAGAGCACAAACTTGCCGACTCACTCAGACTCTCCCGACGATGCACATTCCCTCTCGCAGTCTCGCTCAAGCCACCTGTCACGCCGACACCGCAACACTCACTGTTTCTGTTTCTACGCTCATTGTTTTTTGTTTTTTTTTGTTTTTTGCACAAGTTCGCCGATTAACCCTTCATTTTCAGTTTACGCCCATGGACTTTTTTCCATCCGCAGTAATATGGCACTTCTTTCTATTTACCGAAAGATCTTAAAGGGGCCCTGCAATCCTATTTAAGCATCTAACTTTTTTGCGGTTTCCACGTCTCTTATGGTTCGGGCAACCCAGCAGGCACAGAGAGAGTAACTAAATATCACTGCATCATATTTTAACCGGACGACGCAGAAACCTTCTCCTCCTCCTATGGGGGCGCCCCGTGGTGTCGAACGCGCACGGCATATGATGTAATAGTAATGCCGTTGGTCCTGGTCAGCCGAGGAGAGAGAGCTCCTCGGCCTCACCTCCTTTCCCGTCTTCCTCTCCCTCCCCATATTCTTCAGTCACCGCGGTCCGCGGGCAGGAGAAAAGAGGGGGACAGAGGACCAAGGACGTCATGAAGCAGGTTATTTTTTGCTTGTTCTTGTAATTTTAATATGCCAATAACTTTTAAAATAAAGCGAATTATGAAAAAAGAAAAAGTTCAGTAAATTACTATGCTCAGTGCAGTCAGGTTTGGTGCAAATTAAAAAACAGCAAAAAGTCCTTGCAGGGCCCCTTTAAAGGGATACTTCAACGAAATTTGAAATATTCCCGTCGTGTTTAAAAATAGGTTGAATATGATCCACAATATCCGTAAACGACAATCGCACATTTGTATTTTGAGCCTGGTGGCTGTATTTTTCGTTGTAAACGGCCCCCTCTGGCAAGCGCTCGGAAAAGGCCCAGCGGAGACCACGTGACATCCAACGCAATCGTGACGTAGGTCGTCTCAGGACGAGCAAAGCTACGGCGAAGCTGACGTCGAGAGGATGGCCTAGTCGTTCCAGCCACCGAAGCGGCTGCTTTTGTACAAATTTTGAGTGACGGGTTAATCTTCAGTAATCTTGTAGGGGGACAATCGCGACCTCTGCGACACACAAAAGGCATTCTCGGGAAGAGGGGAGTTCCTCCTTCCCCTCTTCTCTCGTCGTGGCCGGAGGCGAGACAACCTCCGTCACTAGCTGTCAAGGTTCCTAGACGGGCATTACAAGCGAGGCGTTAGCGACATCCACCAGGTGCTCTTTGCTAATCGTTTAATTTGTTTTAAAATTCCTTTTCGTGACTTTTTTAACAAGATATTGGTATGTTCGATGTGATGCTGCTTTTTTGAACACATATAGACCAAAAAAATGAGCGCCGAAATTTCGTTGTAGTATCCCTTTAAAGACACTTGCAAAAGAAAAAAATTTTTTTTTTTTAAACATCCTAGATAAAAAAAGAATGTCAACGATAAAGAAAAAAGTTGAGGGCGACATTTATGGCGCAAAACGAATTTGTAGTTGGCGCTCACGGAAGCCGTCGCTGGTCACAAGGTGATCACAACTGTGCGCCGCTGTACTCCGCCACCGCTCGCCAAGGGGGTGCGCCGCCAGTTCGACGTGTTTCTCCAAGCTGCCGCCGCCACCGGAAGGGCGGTGGCGGCAGCACACCACCGCCCTTCCGGTGGTGGAGGTAGCGCTTGTGAGTTGTGCATGTGTTGTTTCTCTGTCGTCTTTTTGTGCGCTGTTCTGTTCACCATGCCAGAAGGGAGCACTCCAGAGCGCCACCGCCATCAATTTCTGACCGGCGCACAGGTTGATCCACGGCCGGACTGGAAGCGCGCGCGCTCTCTTTCTCTTCTTACGGCCTTTGCGATCGCCCGGGAGTCAATGGCATTTTTTCTCCGTGTGTAGTTCACTTGCTTGCCGCCAGGGGCGCAACCACCTCACCCTACTTCACCCCACTCGGAGAGTCTCTTCGAGCTGCTTTGCACTGGTGTTCGAGCTTCGTAGGTTGTTGTTTCGGCAACGGTTCCGTAGAATACTTCTGATTAACCATGCAAAGATGGTCACGGACAGAAACGAAAAATCAGCTAGATATGTGCACAAGCCCTCGAGGATGCACTTTAGGCTGTAATATGCACTGTGCGAAAATTGTACAGACTACTACACCCTCGTCTAGAGCAGCTGACCGACTTCATGTGCGGCCTATGAAATGATGATGCAGACCACGGCAATAGATAGATTGGGCCTGTTTACATTTCACGAGAGTGTACAAATTATTTATCACTTCAAGTTCCTCCACGTAGAGGGGGTCCGTCTCCTCCTGTTCTTGAGTTGCAACAGAAGTCCTGGAGGTAAAGACGAGTATAGTTTTTCCGCAATCCCATACGCTGTTTCTACTTACTACTTTTTACTCCCGAATCCCTCGGAGATGCGCGTCAAATATTCACCATTTTGGGCTCATCAGAAGCGCATTACATAATGGCTGAGGGTCTAAACGAAAGGATCAGGTGTCAAAGGCTCTAAAAATCTCGGCCGCAAGTTGCAACAGCACTGAGATACACTGTCAGACGCGCTCTGTGCAAACGAGAAAGGGTAGCCCAGGGGTGAGGTGACAGCACCCCCCACGAATTGCAGCGGGAGGTGGCGATTGCCCCAACTGCAAAGGTTGTAAGAAGAGAAAGAGAGCGCGCGCTTCCAGTCCGGCCGTGGTTGATCACGTGGTGCTTGCGCTCCTTCAGGAGCTTCCTTTGGGCTCTAAAAGTTACTTATTAGGGAACACGCAGCAGAGCACGTTGGATAGACTACAGTTCACACAGAAAGAATAAAAACACTGAAATAGACACTGAAAAGCACTGAAGCGAAAATGAATAAGTAAGTTTTAGAGACCATAGGAAGCTTTTGAAAGAGCGCAATCACCACATGATAAATAGCGGTCAGTCACGTGATAAATAGCAACCACTTTTCCGCAGCGCCCACAGGCACCAACTATAAATTTGTTTGGTGCCGTACATATAGCTCTCGAAAATTTTCGTTCTCATCAAAAATTCATTTTATGACTTCCTTTTCCCATCCAGGCTGTTTAAAAAAAAAATACTTTTTTCCTTTGCATGAGTTCTTTAAGGATAGCCCACCTAAAATCGAGAGCAAATTGGGTGAAAAGGCTACCGTAAAATCCCGAACAAGCGCCCACTCAAAATTTGGAGATAATCACGTAAAACTAGGGGATGGGCGTTTCTTACGTGAACAATATGTAAAGGTATGTCTTTTGTGTATGTTCCGAATGTTACAAAATTGAGGGGTGTGCGCTTATTGTGTAATGAGTAGAGCCCTGCATATTCGCAGACAATCCGTGGATATCCGCGGATATTCGCAGTAAACGGGCGGATGCGGATAAAAATTAGACAAATTTTGGCGGATTGCAGATCGGATGCGGATGACAGGAGCTGCGGATGCGGATATCCGCGGATTCGGATCTAAATTTTTGCCCGGTGGCGTTCAGTTCGTCGACTGACGTTTTATCTACAGATCGTTTCTTCGACATGCGACGTTTCATCGAAAGGCTTCTAGTGTTCATTTCATTGAAAAACCCAAGACGTTTCGTCACACACAACCCTGATATTTTTGTAACAAACGTTTTGCATCTCGCCTGGATTACAGTGGGGAGGGGGGTATGGTTTGGTTAAGCTCGCCTTAGTGAATCGCGGGCTAGCTTTTAGCAGCTTGGTAAAGAAATGCGTTGTCAATAAATTGTCGCAGGGGCATATGCCCTCAAAACGTACAGCATCGACGAACCGTGTGTCCATGAAATGTCTGTTCATGAAAAGTTGTCCACGAAACTTATTTCCACAAAATGTGTTCCGAAGAAACAATAGGGATCCTAAGAAAAATCGGATTCTCACCAAAGATCGCTTCAGTTAGAGTGTTGCTTCTCGTCAAAAATGCTATCTATAGAAAAAATAAAGATTGCAGGGCATCAATCGTCTCGAGAAAGCTAGTACATTGGCAGGGAAAGTGCGGAAAATTTCCCCAGCCAAAGAAAACCTCAAACGTACAAGTCACAAGAAAGTAGAAGAAATGTCCCCATCTCCGCAAATAGCAGTGTGGTCATAATTCCAAAAACAAAAGAAGTGCCTCAACATCCTTTTGTGCACTTCTTCTGGGCAGAGTGTCGAGGACTCCTAGGACGATCACATAACTGAGATAATTTTTCCTTCTACGCGCAGTGTCTCGGGAAGACTGATCGCTTTTAATATAAGTATGATGAAACTGATAGTGATAAAATCACATCTCCTTTCAATGGTGACCCGAAGATTCCTTCGTGCAAAGATAAGCAAACAACTTAAAAAAATGCTATTTGTATTTGTTGTTTTTTTGTTTTTTTTGTCATTTTCGCTTGATGTTACGTATACAATGAATGCCTGGGTTGTGAGTCGGATCTGGTTCCACATTTTTTGGATGCGGTTCAGATACGGATATGGATACAAAGCATGCGGAAGCGGATCGGATACGGATACAACAATGTAAAAAGTTTGCGGATGCGGTTTGGATGCGAATACAAAGTCTGCGGATGCGGATCGGATGCAGGTAAAAAACTGTTATCCGCGCAGGGCTCTAGTAATGAGCACATGCTCTGTATCTTACGGTAGGCTAACTTTCGGCGCGTTATCAAAAAATGTTTAAAAAGTGCTATTTCCAGATTATGTGACCTGCAAAACTTGCCATCGCAGCGAGGGGCGATGAACCAAAGACAACTGTCCTTCCCAGTCAGCAATGTTCACTCATCTCCCGCCGTAGCTAACTAACACCATTTCCACCGAAGTGAGCTATCTTTTGGTGTTTTGAAGAAAAACAAAATAGTAAATCACGCCAAAAGTAGGAGCGGACTATCTTTCTGGGGCAGGGCATCTCTTGGGATATTACAGTGGTCTGTTTAGGAGTTGAGACTGTCTTGATGCCACTTGCAAACAGCATACTCACATGCGCTCCTCCAAAGCAAAGCGGATAGATGTTCTCGAGGAGGTGGAATGCACAGCTGTAGCTCGCAGTGCCTCGGCAGTTATGGAGCACTACTGTCAGGGGAGTGACACCAGACTTGGTGGCTGCTAAGACCACCATTGTGATGCTCAGTTGATGATGTCGAGTCCCTGAACACAACTTCGCTTGCTGCAGCTAGATGCTTGAGGCACTGCATGATTTCCACGATGATTAACACAATTAAGCAGGATGCACCTTCCGACAAGACTGATCCTGACGTTGACACCAGCAAAAGATGCCGATACCAACAGTCCAGGGGTCCAATTTTGGTTACCAAGAAAACGAGATCTAATTTGCCTCTTGTGGAGCCAGCTAAGATATAGTTCATAGACAGTTCATCTGCTAACACGAGCAAAGAATGCGGTTCCTCTAATACAAAGCGCCATTTGCAGACAGAAATAAAACAAGAAAATGCCGTATGTCGTCTGCTAACAGAACAGAAAAAGGTGACCGTCTGCTATGAACCCAAAGCCGCATTGAAGTAAAATCAGACGCAGATTGAAATTCTGATCATCTGCTATTTCATGTTGGAAGCCGCTGACAACCTGCGGTTCGTTTGCAAATCTCAAGTTCTGCTGCTGTACACAAGCTGACATCGACCAGCGAATGAAGAAGTACTAAGGATAAGCACATCACAGGATGCAAGACCTATCTCGCTATTTGTATGTTGGTGAGACGTTCTCACCAAAATACTATAGCGAGATTGGGAACTCACGAACGGGTCAAAAATGTCTCATTTGTCCATTACATGCAGGCTGTGCCACGTCCAATCGGCAGCCGAAAACCCTCTCGCTCCCACCTTGACCAAACTTGGACCGCTGCTGACATCACTAAAAGCTTCTATGCTTTTTATACTTCAATTCACCTTACAATGAACCATGGAGGACACTACGAGCTACCTATGCCAATCCAATGCCACATGATTGTCCCGTTGCCTTCGGGAGGAGCACAGCAAGACACAGGGCACATAGTCACATGATACGTTCACAGCGTTGGATTTGCTGGGATGGCTCATGGCATTGGCTCCAGCCCCTTGTAAGGTTCAATAGAGTACTATAGTAATTTAGGTGTAAGTACTGCACAACCTCCATCATTGTTTCTCTGTTTAATTCAGTACATTTCAAAGATTGGTTGAGTAAAGTTATGCGACAGCTGCCATATAGCCATACTGAAATGGCATGTTTTTTAGCATTCTGATATTGCCGCGAGCGCAGCTGACTAAGTAGGTGGTGCGCCCGTGGCCTAACGATTATCACGCTTGCCTTCTATGCAGAAGGCCAGGGTTCGATTCCTGGTCGCGACACGTCTTTTATTTATTCTTGCAATTTACTGTTCTCGGAAATTCGAGAACTCTGTTGCATGTTCAAGGTTAGAATGTTCTATGCGCGAACCTTCTACGGCCGATTGTTCAAGGAGCCCACGCGTGTACAAAAAGGGCTCCGCGTGGCAAGCCGCAGTCAGTTTCGCCCCAGCGATCGACTCTGCTGTCACGCCGGCTTCGATGCCCGCGACGCTCTGCTTTCTTTTGTTCCCTTTTTATTTTTGGGCACAAGTTCGCCCCATTAAACGTTTAGCTTCGTCAAGTATTATTGCCTCATCACTCTTCATTTGTGACAATATTTTAGTCCATTTTAATTTTACAAGGTCTACCTTCTGTGCTTTATTTAGTCTTTGTTGTTGACATTTTAATGCGAAAACATTGACTGTCCCGTCGAGCGGACCCGGCGGCGTCTGTAACCACGTAAAAATGAGACATAAAAAAGTGAAAGCCGTTTACAACTCCCTGTAACACCGAATTAGAGCGCAGCTCTTATTTGGTGTTACGTGACGTGTTATTCATGACGATGCCGATGCCCCCCCGAAGTCACGTGACACCCCCAGGTCACGTGACCTGGGGGGTGTCACGTGACTTCGGGGGGAGGGGGGGGGGGTCACGTGACTTCAGCGGGGTCACGTGACTGGGTGTCACGTGACCTTGGGGTGACATTGGGGGTCACGTGACCTTGGGATGACCTTGGGGGCCACGTGACCTTAGGATGACCTTGGTTACGCCGACGGCGACGCCGACGCCGCTCAAGCCGGGAACGGGCCCCTAAGAGCTGCGCTCTAAAAACTGTAACCGCGAAAAACGGCACCTAAATAGGCTGCGACACATCATATCAGACACCTTGTTACTGATGCCAGCAGCCCACTTGAGGTCAAAGCAGATACGCTTTGGAAATATAAAAAGCACGAAAAAAAGTGCAGCAACGCAGATGCCTCGTCACGCAAGCCGGCAGGTGTGTTCAAGGTAAAAGCGGACGTGCTTCAGAAATAAAACACAAAGGAAAGCACATCAACGCAACGCTTCGTCATGGAAGCCGTCGTGAAGCCGGCAAAATTCGCCACACCTGCGCAGTGGGGGAGCGTGATATCACCACTGCAGCGCCGTGTGCGATAGGAAGACGTGGCACGCTGCTTGTACGAATGCGCTGCGTGTAGGTGAAATCCACCATAGCCTGTCAAGTTTCAGAATACACGGCGTAGCGGTCTGCGTGGAGCACCGCCACATTCCCTACCGGCACTGCAGCCGCTTCTGCTCCTTTTGGCGCCGAGAATGCTTTCGCATCCAGAGCTCATAAGAAGTGCTTAGGCGTCCTCGGAATTTTTGTGTCTAAAATATGACTGTTTCATACCTGGAAGGTTAAATTAAATAAGTCAGAAAACTTAAGTTGCTTCTTTACAGCATATGAGAGAGAGAGAGAGCAAACATAGACAATGTCTAAAAAAAAAAAGTTTATACTACAAATACTTGCCAAAGCATTCAACTTTTTGCTTTTAGTAAACTTTCCTACTTCTTCCACGAACTGAATGAAACTCTCAGTAATCGTGTATTTTCAAAAGGTTTATCTTTAAAAATAAAGCTATGTTTTGTTCGTTCACAATATTTCAAAAAATAATTATTCCTACATGATCCAAGTTTACCAAAAGCATAAAAAAAATGCAAAATTTATGTTCTTGCAAACTAAAAGGTCAACAAAGTCTGCCGAGACCAATTATTTTTGGGAGACTAGTATCGAGGAATAAATGCAACATAAGACCGTGTGCTTCAGTAACTAATGGCAATGACTTACTGTGCTGGAGGCAGGGTGTCGAACCGGAACCGAACCGAACCAAAAACCGGAACAGAACCGTTATTTTTAGCCGAACCGGAACTGAACCGAACCGAAATCTTCGCCGCCATATTGGAACTCAACTGGAACCGAACCGAAAAAAAAATATAACGGTAACCGGTTCATAACGGTTCAATGTAGTATTTCTTTTTTTTTTTGTTAGTATCACAAAATGTACATATGGGAATGAAAAATTGGCGGCTGTCTATGGATCAAATCGTCATACACAGAATTGAAAAGTATGGTAGGTTGTGGGTTTTCATGGCACTATGATTAACCATGTGTCACGTTGTCACGTGACGCCATGGTGTCAATACATGTTGTCACGTGACCTCGTGATGTCACGTGACTCACCGCGTCGACTTGATTTAATTTGAGGAAGTCACTTGATGTATTAACATTGTTGACAGCATGACGTATTATGACATCACGATTTTGCACCGAGAGTCACGTGACACCGTGACGTAAGCGATTTTCAAAACCCCCAGTGGAGTGCTCGGGTTCATGACAATCAGCACCGCCAAACATTCGGGTAACGGCTCATGTCAATTACATATGATAATAATCCAACTCTAACAATATCTGAAGCTCAGCTCAAGCTTTTGCTTTTCAAACCCTAGCCGCCTAGAGCATGACTGTGATGAACACTGGCGGTATCAGATCACGTGGCCGCTTGTTTGAATTGCGTGCTGAGGAGATATCGACAGCTGTCTCTTTCCTTTATTTTTTCTGCATGTGCTATTAGGGGAAAACTAATGGATGTTTCCGCAAGCTATCAACGTTAGGGGTTACATCTTAACAGTATTTATTGAAAGTACAAGGAGAAATGTTGCAAGACCCATTTTACGTTATTGAGGCACCCAAATATTTTTCGTTGTTGCTAAACTGCATCCGAAAGATGTTCGTGAGAATAGAAGTACTGAAACTACTAAATGCGACTTATTAATATGACGTGACATAGAACTACACGTGTGTACGGAAGGAATGCTAAAAAAAAAAAAGATATTTTAGTGACCTTAGAGAGACAGCCGAACGTTGGCAGTCGCTGTAACTCTCACACGAGCGTCGTTCCTACGTTATTGCCCAAGTTTCGACTTCCTCTGTACTTTGCTTAAAGGAGCTATAAAAAGATTTCTATACATTACTAAATACTACTCAGGATCACTCCCTAATGTTAATAACTGATTGAACCTGGCTTTGCTATTTTTTTCTAGGCAATGGCAGTCGCCAAAAAAATTCGAGAAATATGAGCATCGTACATCCCCTCAACTCGGAGCCAGAAGCGGCCATGTGGCCTGGTGCCTATCTTATGCCGCCAACGTTAATCATACCCCTGCGCTGGCGTTTTAAGGAAGAAAACACATGCTCAGTTCCAGGCACTGTTAGAGTTCGGCTATTCTCATCACCGCAGTGGTTGGACAAGAGCCACTACCCAAGTGTCCACCGAGGCATTGTTTGTTACGAACCGATGTACGGTGCTCACGCAGTCCTCCTGTCTAATCCATGAGCCGCGCTCGACTGTTGTCAGGCGGGTGGTTTTGACCCTACAATTGCGACATCAATCCTTGGGAAGGCAAGACTAAAAGAGATAGTCTCATTTAATCTTCGCAATTTCACCGCGACAAAGAAGCTTCTGAATTAGTGGCGGCCCTGGGCGAGTATACTTGGGCCAGAGGACCAGTACGCCTCGGAAAAGTCATGAACATTCCAACCCGATGTCGTTTTATCACCCATCTAAACTTCACGGGGTGCAAAATAAAAGCAATAAAGGGTTGCGGTTAACAAGTGTCAAATAAAATTGTCAAATTAACACACACCAATGGAGGAGGCAATTCCTCGGGAATACTTTCTGCCTTTTCACTCTGGTGAAGAAGGAAGACTAGCGAAGCTGTACTATGGTGTAAATGAAGTAATGGCCGGCCTCAAGCCGGCAATTGAGCCAGAGCGCAAAGGCTCGAGAGGTTGCCGCCATCTATACACGACGGCGGCAACCAGACAACCAGCAAGCCGGTTATCTGGTTGCCGTCGTCCTTAATAGATGGCGGTAGCTGTCCAGAGTTTAGTGTCATCATTTGTTTGCTGACGGACACGACACTGGGGAAACTAGCCCTTAACAGCTCCGCTGTATAAAGAAGTTTGTGGGTGTATGTGTGTGTGTGGGGGGGGGGGGGGGAAGCGGGGGAGCTTTAAAAACATACTGTGTTATAAAGGTTCCTCTTCCCTGCATCTTTGGCGCAGACCAACAGGCGTGACTCCGGAAACTACTTTGCTTGCAAAAACGCTGTTACCAAAAAGCACGTTTTTGTCGTGCCAGACGCTCGCGCCGTTCCTAGCGAAAAGCGTCTGACTCGCAACTAAAGGGTCGTAAGTTCGAATCGCGCCAAAATTCTAAATTATTTTTCTTTAAGGCAAAATAATTACTTTCAAAAGTGAAATCATTTGAGACATACGGCGACCTTTATTTCGCATTACATGTCATGTTTTAATCACACTCATTCCACGCGCGATGTCACGTTTCACGTGAGCATAGTGGGTTGCTCGAAATTCTCGCGCGAGGGTATGCAGCTCTGACGTCATGAACCTATCGACCAATCAGGATTTTCCAGTCACGCCACCGACATCGGCTTTTCTGCGACATGAGCTCCTTAACGCTATCGAGTTAAAATCATCAGTTAGCAAAAGTGATGCTCGTTTGCAAATTAAATTGACCGGCATCTTGTCAAGAACAAACCTCAACAGCCAGGCTATGCCGCTTATTCTGCATAAGAAAATGTTCACTTGGACAAGCGCTATTTTGGGCCGGATTTGATCTGAGTGCGAAGGGTGCGTATAGATTAGAGTGAACAATTGTGATTACTTCTTGCTGCATGATTAGTGGCATGCATGCGGTGCTGAGTGTAAAGAATGTTTGGTTAGAACAACAAGCATTTGGATTGCCGCTCGGTGTTTCTATAAAAAATACACTGAAAGGAATTATCCTAAAACTTTTGTTACATTTTGAAAATTTAATTGCTTTTAGTTCAGTTGTGTCGTCATCATATACATATATATTGTGAAGTGTATTTCGTAAACCGTATTTCATAATTAGCATGAGCACCGAGGTGCTCATTTCATAATTTTATGTGATGTAATTCATTCCTTAGTTGAAGGACACAATCACGATTTCATTTTTAACACTACGACACAAAGTTGTACCAATCACGGGTATTTTAGGCGACCTACCGCACTTTGCGACAACATTTTATGCCGCGTAAATAGATCAGCTTGAACTTTAGATTTTTACTTAAACACGAAGAAAGCACAATAAAATACAGTATAGTTCTAAATTAGAAGCTGATCTATTTACAGGTATGTACCAACCATCGCTAAACTCTTCACTCTTGTACTTAAAACATTTTGATTCAGGTAAAATATATGTTACTGGTAAACAAAGGGATGTGGCGTCGTATAGACACGACGTTATGTATGTTAATGTACAGGGTGTCACAAACGAAAATTTACACGGTCTTTTTTACCACAAAAATAAACTAGGCATCGCCCAACTCTCATTCTCCGCCCAAAGGTAGCGCTAGAGGCCACAACCAGGTGCCAAAGTTTCAGCCCGATTCGATAACTTAATCAAAAGCTATAAGTGATTTTCTGAAACTTTGAATGGGAAAATGGCGGCCGACAGAGTTTTCGAACACATGGGGCTCTGTGGAACCACAAACCCAAAACGGGCAAAAATGCGCTCCATTTTCTCATTGAAATTTTGAAAAAATCACTTATAACTTTTGATTAAGTTATCGGATCGGGCTGAAACTTTGGCATCTGGTTGTGAGCTCTAGCTCTACCTTTGAGCGGAAAATGAGCGTTCGACGATGCCTAGTTTATTTTTGCGGTAAAAAAGACCGTGTAAATTTTCTTTTGTGGCACCCTGTAGATTTGTTTCTACTCTTGCGTCGAAAGTAAATAACTGAATTTCACATTTTGGCACCTAAAAACAAAATTAAATTGCACGGACGATCGAAGAAACAATAGAGTTAATCGTTTTGCGGCGTAAATAGTGTATATTGCCAGAACAACGCGAAAAAGATATTCTCAATTTAGCGGTTCAAACCGGTTCGAACCGGTTCGAACCGGTTTGAACCGTTATTTTTTGCTTCCCGGAACTGAACCGGAACCGAACCGAAAGCCGTGAACCCGAACCGGAACCGAACCGATAAAAATTTCGGTTCGACACTCTGGCTGGAGGTAGTTGGGCCTTATCACCCAGCTCAAGATGGGGTCGACAGGTTGGCCGTAGGGCTGCTGCCGCCAGGCTGTCTGGCGCACCGTCATTGCACTCGGGTTTATGGCATCGCTGGCAAGACTTTCCAATGTCTCATCAGCAGCAGACAGTTTCTCCTGCTGGAGTGTTGTTGTCTCTGCTGGGGTAGGGCCAACCTGGAAGCAAAGTGTTTTCAAATTGGGGGCAATCTAAATTCATTGGCTGGCAGGTGGACGAGACAAAAGTTGTTGACATCAGGAACGGCCAAACTGCGGCTTGCAAGCTGCATGCGGATCGCTTGTAAGCGTAACCATTCCACCCTCCCCCACCCACTAGATCCAAAGCAAAGAGATTTAAAATAAAAAGAACAGCTTTTTTCTTGGCGGGACGTTTGCAAAACCACCAAAGGGGATGGTGATACGAAGAAGAAGAGCATGACGGCCCATGGCTACAGTGCATTCTGGCTCACGCTCTGGCTGGCAGTCAGATCAAAACCCAACGTTGAAAGCCACCCCATTGGCTCTTCTCCTTGGTGCAAGACTTGATATCAACGTAACAATATACAGGTTAACACAAAAAATAAACTATCCAAACTTCTAAACAGTCACCCAGTGAAAAATGCCAACATCATACCATTAACAAACAAAGCATGGGTCAAGAAAAAAAACATCAAAGAGGCAGTTTAACAGATAATCGCCTCCAGAGATACAAAAATAAAGATTTCACGGCACATCGCAACATGCAATGGTCGTCTCAAACAATATTTTTGATGCAATTCAAAAATCACTGACTGATGTAGCAACATTGGGCAGTGCAGCATCGGGCAGTGCATTCCGTCCTATGGTTACTTTGGGGAAAGTCTGAATTTAACAGAATTATTACAAACACATTAGTGTGGTACCTACGGCGAGCAAGCAATAAGATTTCGAAAACTTCGGACAGACTACGAACAGAAGGACAGGACAATACTAATTGTGAACTGGAGAATGGTCACTCGATTTAAGCAAAGGTGCTACAACAGAGTATTTCCAGGTGGCAAGAAAATTCCAGATTCAAATGACAAATTCAATTCGTGAAGCAGTACTGGACAAAAGTAGAGTAGAGCCCTACACTACAAAACTTGGAATTCCATCTGTTCCCAAGAATCACTTCAATTTAAAGTTTCTAGATGCCTCCTACACTTCAACTTCAATTATTGAGGTAATTGGCAAAAATCCCATACAGCTCATGCCTGAAAAGAGATAAGGGGAAACCATTGGTAGAGAAACAGGAACTAATGTTGTTTGCACCGTGTCATCTTGCTATGCATCACATGACAAAATAAAATTTGCAATTTGCTTCTTTGTTACGAACTACCACACAAACCAACTACGCGCTCGGTGACTGCTTCATAGTAATACCATGCTCTACCCCATATTGCTCAAACCACCACTGATCAACACTGACTATAAATCTTCTATAACAATCAACTCGTTCAGATTTCCATAAAGACCACTATAATGCAGCATGCTTTTAGTAGAACATGGGGCTTCCAAAAAACATTTTTAAGAGGCCTAGATATCACACATGTAACAGAATTAATTTTCCACAATGAAAAAAAAAATTTGAACGCAATATATAAAGCTGCAAGATGCAATTGGGTGGAGGAAGCCCTGCTCTAAGCCCCACTCATTCGTCAAAGGTGATTTAGATAGTTTTGTAAGCACTGTTTCTCAGCTTTCACTTGCCAGAGAAATTATTGATGGCTGCAATGTAGGTTTTAAACTCGTTGCTATGTGGTGTGGCAGGCTTTTTTTCGATACATGTTTTGTCTACGAAACAAACAATCTAAATAGAGTCATTATTGTTTGCAAACATACAACATGGTCGCCATTTCCGCTTTGATTTCAAACGGTAACAAATATAGTTCCCTACACCAATACACCATGTAGCTTGTTGAGCTCTTTCATTTTATGAGCGCGAGTTGTTTCGCGTTTACTGAGATGTTAATGCCGGCAGAAACCGAGGTAGAAGAGGAGACGAAAGCGTGCGGGGACTTGAGAACGCCGAGCTCAGGTTGGAATAATTAGTGTAATTAATTAGAATAATAATTAGCCTTTGTTTCCACTGCACTCGTCGAATGCATTCAAATTCAAATGCCAAATGCCGGTGTTTTGCATTTTAACGTGTTCGAACAGTGTGCTTGTTCTCGTAGCAAGAGTTGGGTAGGCATAGCATTTTACGTCAACTTATTTGCTTGATCTAGCTTGATTTGTTTGTAAGTGCATGTTGATGCTGAATAAAGATGTCATTTCACGTAAAAGCTGTCTCGCTGCTATGTGAAGGGCTGCAAGCATCGCAATCGCTACTATTGTTCCAGTGCCGACAGGATACATACAGGCACAAATATGCAAGCCCCCCGGATGGAAGTAATCGTGTGCTCACCTAGCAGCAGGTTTGTTCCCTTCATTTCGCTCCAGAAGCCCCGTAGCTCTCAAGTCTTGAGCAAAGCAGCTGGCTTGCCAAAGCGAATACTCTGAGGTTGCATTTTGATTGTGCGTCATGACGCTCTCTCAGCTTGCTTGCTGATGCAATATAAGAAAATAAGAACAGAAAAGCTGTAAGGACCATGGTTTGTGCATCATGGGACGCCAGAATGTCGCTTTCAGGGTCGCGTCTTGCAGACGCTGCAGACAGTGGTAGACTGTTGCAGAGCAGCTGACGATGACAGACAACGGGGGACACTAACGTGCCGCTACTCGTACGAGTAGCAGACGGTGTTAGGCGACAGACTAAAGGCAGCGAAAGTCGTGACAACGAGACGTCGGGCTCGCATACGGTGTTTGGCCGAGCAGTCAAGCCAATCCAGTACTAATGTGCGGGACCTAGGTTAGAGCATAGGCATAGTGCACCTCTGCCTAAATTGTGTTTCGCAAGTAAATATTGCCCTAAAATACTTGTTTTTTTTGTTGCTGTTTCTTTTTTAAATTTTTTTTCTTCACAATTAGGCTTTTTGAGAAATGTTTTCTACGAGTTCTGTGTTTTTTTAAGCAATCCCTTAGTTACCTTAAGAGCCATGTTTAGAAAATCCGACATTACTGAATAAGCCAGGAAGAAAATCACTGTACAACAGACGATTTTCAAAACCCCATCGAGCACCATTGGTAATCGCCATTTATTTGGCACAAAGCGTGTGATTGAATCCGAGTCCTCGCCGAACACCGACTTAGCGTTCGTTTTCCATACAAGCTGCGCCGAGTTCATGCCGAACGCTGACGCAGACCTTGTGTCGAACACGCGCTAAGAGTATGTGCCCAAATAATCGCGGATTTCGTTCATAGATGGCGCAGCAGCTACTAGGTGGTGCACACTTTCGAAAAGGTCTACATTCTGTGGAGAAATAAGGAAAAACAAGGGGCGTGCCATATTGATATACAATTCTTTTTTTTTTTTTTCTGCAGATGCCGGTCACTTAGAGGTCTGTACGTATGTCCACCTCATTGACAGACTCAATCTGGAGCCGAACACCATAACATCACCCGTGTGGCGGCCTCTCCACACTCTGCTGGAACCACATTTTGGGAGTGTACCACACCCATGCCTGGACAACTACTTCCAGCTTCTCGATGACTGCGAAATGGTGCCCTCGTAGGGTCTTTTTCGTGACACCAAACAAGAGATAACCATTGGGGGCCCAGTCAGGCCATACCCAAGCACGACCAAACGTCCGACTGGTCGTACGACGTGTCAGAAAGACGACCGAACACAATCGGGCGCCAGTAAATCATTGCGTCATGTGCATCCACGCGAAGCCACGATTGACTGGCACCTGATCGAGCTTGGCCGTCAAGCGTGGTACGACCAGTCAGACGTTTGATCGCACACAGATATGGCCTGACCGGACTCCCAGCAGTTATCACCTGTTCGGTGGTATAAATTAAACTTACAATGAGGACGCCATTTCTCGGTCATTGAGAAGCCGGAAGCCGCTGTCCAGGCGTGGGGGTGGAACACACCCAAAAAGTGATTCCAGACTTGGCATGGAGAAGCTGCCACACAGGTGGTGCGAGGGAATTCGGAAGCAGGGGGAGTCTGTCGAGAAAGTGGACACGTGTACCGAGTGCAACACTGTTAGCGCGAACAAGTGATCGTCAGTTTTTCCAGTTTTTCTCTTTGAAACCAAGGGATGTCATCCAAGTCATTATTGCTATGAAAAGAGCTCATTTAGTACTACAGTGTAGACCGCATATAACGTATGTCGCGAGAGTCGCGAAAATCCGCACTATAAGCAAAACATCGAATTTTTAGGCCAAAATACATGCCACAAGGCAACCTACCTTCGTAAAAAATTTTTTTTTTTTTTATTAGATGAAAAATAAAGCTTAGTTTGAGGAAAGTCTTTATTTCACCAGACTAGTATACTTCTCTCTCAAGTGTATCACACATTTTGAAAGAAATGAGTGACTTTTGCCTGGCGCAGCCTTTTAACGGTGTCGCGGGTTGCGGAAGGACGTTGTGAGCGTTCAGGATTGCTAACCCTAATCACTTTCCTCCGGTGATGAAAATGCGTGAAAATTGGCATCCTTTATACGGTATGCGCATGAAATGCTCCAAATGAGGCATGAAATGCCTTATTTGCATGAAATGCTCGAAATAAGAAATCCGGGCGATGTTAGAAAACACAAATGCTTAGAAAGCACCACTGTAGTCGAAGTAAACAAACACGACGACACGGGCGTTTCTGCTGTCTTGAGATTTCCGCCACGACATCGCCGCACGAGTAGGTGGATCTTCCCTTCTAGTACGTGCTGGGTTATCATAGCGACACACAACGAAAATTCACAGTCAAGGATAGCGCTTTTACGCGGAACGATGAGCTTCCACCACGCCGTCAACGTCGACGATCATCACCGACGCCATGTTTGCGGATAGAAGAAGCCGGCCCGCGACCGGCATGCAACACGTGCGAACACTTCCCCTCGACCTGCGATTGGTTTTGTTGTGGTTGTTTCCAACGCAGCGGGGGAAAGTTGGGCTGGTTGGGCTCGCTCCAACGCCTTGCTGGCCATAGTTGCTGGCCTTGCGCCGTGAACGACACGTGCGTGCGTCCCTCCGTCGCTATGGCAACTGAAGCGACGGAAGCCTCTCTCTTCGCTTCTCCCCGCGTCTTTGAGCAACCTCCTTGCCATCCTTGCCCCCGCGGGCCGCAAGTGCCGCTTGCGGCTAGCGCCGTTATCTAGTCGATCTAGTGTCGCACAGGGAAGCGTGCTTGCTGCACCGGTCGGTCGGCGCGGTCGGCGGGCTGTTCTTGAAACCGCACTATAACCGGTATTTCCCTTCACGCGCCTGCATTTTAAGCGGTATGTAATTACATGAAGTTCTATGGGAGGCAAACCGGTGGTTTAAAAAAGCCGCGTTATACCCGGTGCTGCACTATAAGCGGTTATGTTGTAAGTGGTCTATACTGTATAATGTAAGCGATAGCATTTCATGATCGCTAATACTCTTTAGAAGTAAAATGCGAAAATGCGCCGATGTCGTGTTTGCGCGAACAGTGTTGCAACGTGTACATATGCAGCAAAAAAATTAATTGTAAATCAACATGATTTGTTCCTAGCAGTGTATTTACACATGGCTGTGTACAGTACCGACATTTACCAGATTTTAAAATGTACACCTCTACTTGGATAAGAGTAAAAAGCCACATGCATCTAATTCAAAACCTGATCAGTAAATGCAGGCAACATATGCATACCTTGGCTATCCAATGTATTTTGGGTGTTAGGAGGGAGCCTGTCCATGGTGGGCAGCGGCACAGGTTAGTAGTGGCCTCTGCTTCCATGGCAAGGAAGGACACCGAGACTGCACGCAGGAGCTGCACCTGCAGGCCACACAGCACTGGGCAAGCCGGTTGAAAGAAGGGATTGTTCTGCCGTCATGAGTTTGGAGAAAGAGAGAGAACTAATAAGATATTGTGGGAAGTTCGCACGAGGTCAGGAATAGCCCATTTTCAGATATTACCGATAAGGAAGCTTTCGTATGAGAATATGTGAGCACATGCTCAAACGAGTAGGCAGCCCCTCTAGTGTGGAAGCTAGTGCCTGTACGCCCTGTTGAGCTGCAGTGACCTAGATTAGAGTTCCCTCTGTCCCTTTTGTGCACATCGTGGCTTATCTCTTGCCCCCAAGTTTGTCCAAAGCTTCTTCCCTGTCCTTTAGTAAAGTTTGGATGGGGCTGCTGTTGACAGTCAGTTGCACCTGTTGGCATCAATATTGGAGAAATGGATAAGTACCAGATCTTTTCTACCAACCAACCTACCAAACAAACCTTTTCCAAGGTTTGTTTGGTAGAATCCCTTTATACAAGCTATGTGATTAAATTCCTTGTAGAAAGTTTAGGATTAAGGCATCACTAATGTACTCACACCAAAGATTGCACTCCCTTGTATACCACCGGCATTTGTAGGAGTTCACCTCCTTTCCTTGGGCCAGGACAGGACAATCAGTTTAAACCTAGCCTTTTCCGCGTGATGAACTTCCATTCAATGATCAGCTCGCAGACAACATAAACATCCACCGAGCCCTCGACGAACACTGAGGAATTCCTCGTAGAATTGGAGCGTCCATTACTCACCACCACTGTGGCGCCAAGCTGGAACTACATGAATCAAATGGCACGAGCCTTGAGCAACCGAGACAACATCGGCGCAAACATTGCAAAAGAAAAATAAAAACTCAATCAGGCACAACACATGAATGCTGTATATGCAGCCATGCGCAGCATTACACCTTCCAAATGGCAGTTAATATTCGATCCAAGGAATTCTCAGACAGTTTTCCGACAGGAGGAGCGAGTTCTTTAGAATTCGGTGGAGTGATACTGCGGAAGGAAAGGACAGCACCATTATCACCCTTTACCTTCCATGCAGTTCTGTCGAGCTCAGTCACGATGACCATGGCTGCGGCTCAATGCAATGTCGACCACCTGCTGGCTCGGGCTTCGGCTCCAATAACCTTCAGTCTGCAACCGGAATCTATTGTATCAGAAGGACTGTATAGACGCTTTACACACGCGCCAAATTACAGCCGCCATTGCTGACCTTCTCGTGTCTTACCGAGATGCCGAGCAACTGAAACAATACTTGACGATCTTTTACAAAGGCCGATGCTTTAGAAAAGGACACAGCTGAATCTGATTTGGCAATAACCTGGCCTGCTATGGTAATGATGAAGTGAAATAAACGGAATAAGAGGAAACAAAAACTGAAGGTCAGTTATGGCGGTGTCCATGCACAGCTACTGCAAAGCGTCTACACTCCACATCATGCCTCTTGTGGGTAGTTTATTCAAAAGCTGATTTCTTGCATGGCATAAGCAAACGTGCGAGAGTGATAGCACATTACAAAGGGGGTAACTGATGAAAAGCCAGCCTTTGTCAGCATGTGGTACACCGACTGGAGTCTGAACTTCACTTAATTCTAGATATCATTGCTATGCATTTTGCTTGAAAAATTGATGTCATATTTTGCTGGGGAGTCTACCAAAGTTGTAATTAACAGCCTGATTATTCTAGTCTGAAAAAGTTGACAACATTTATATGTTTGTATGCCTTGTGACCTAGCTTGATCAACTTGACTATTTCCTTGACAAGCACATTAAATAGGATGTAGCTAGAGTTGCATGAGGTGTATTTTGTATGAAGCTCCAAATCTCTAGATGAGTGCTATTTAATATATCTGGCTAAGCAAAGAACAGAAAACCAGCTGAAATTATCAAAATAAATACACCTAAAGTACACCCAACACACTAAGAGCACATTGGTGCTCTTGCATTTCAGACGCAGTCTTCGAATGAGGGAGTACACAGTAACAATAAGAACCCTTCACTGTACCTGTCCCATTCAAAGCAGTGATGTAACATGATCTCGGAGTTGTGTGTGACCTGAAGCAAGATAACTAAAGGTCCTCCGAGGACAGGCATTTAACGTAAAATAAGTTAGTTTTATTCACCTATATTATGTACAATTTTTTACTTGGACAGCTGTAACGTAGACTGCAGTTCCTTTAGTGCCAGTTTTCCCCTTGCAATATGCATCTTGATAAAGTCCTGGAAAATGTGAACGAGACGCAACTAAGCATTTAGTGGGAAGGAGTCCCATGGCTAAGTTTGAACACAGATTGTGTCCAGTTTTGCAAGCAGTGTCATGATATTCAAGCTCACCTCGTCTTGTAACCCTTTGTTGTTTTCAATATCGTGCCTGACCCACATGCGAAGTTCTTCCTTCTGGCTTTCATCGGGCACATTGCGAATCGTTCGCAAAGCGTCCCTATACAGCTTCAGCACTTGTTGCCGCAGCATGAACTGAAACATAACGATTATGCTATCACCCCCCGCAGATGAACACACTTCACAAACGTCAGACGGGCTTTTCTTTCGGGTAAATTACCGATCAGAACGCACTTGTTTCAGAGACATCGTCTTCGTGCTGGAGGCCACCATGTTGTTTGTTATCCTCAAGACCAGACCTGACCAGACCATCAGACAACCAGAAAACACCCCAATATGTTTTATAAATGAAACCTTCCAAAATTCCTGCGCCCTACCCCTCTTTTTTTTTTTAATATACACTTGATTTGAATGGGTGGATATATATTTAGAGCTAAACCGGCAGTGCGCTGGTCGCATTTCAACCGGGGGCGGCGCGGCGGTCGTTTTTGGTCGACGGCGCCACTGGGCGGCGCGGCGCCGCCGACGCATATTTATTGGTGGCTGCGTGGGCGGCTGCGTGCAACTCTATGGCTGCGTGTGCCTGCGTTTGGTCGGCGGTGGCGGCGTCCGACCAATATGCGTGGGCAACTTCCCATTGACGCGAAATTCAAGAACCAAAGGGGCCATACCATTAAAGTTAAGACCTCAAGAATAAAACTTAACGCTCTTTCATTTGAAGTTATCTGAATAAAAACATCAACGTTTATATTGCTTAAAGGGGCTGTGCAACGATATTCAATTGGAATGTTTTTCACTTTACACGAGCTTACTGGCACTAGTGGGACTCAAGATACTCGCACGCAACGCCACTGACCAAGAAACTCCTTTGTTGCCGTTGTTTGTTGCGCTGTAATTTCGAGGACAAAACCGAGTGTTTTCATTCAATCTCTCCTTCGAAAAACCTGATGACGTAGCTGGGCGGTAGCAGTACCGCCCAGTGACGATATTTGAATACGGCTCATAGATTGGACCCGAGCATGGCGTGGACACTCGATTTGGGTTCGTGATAATTGATAGCTCGAGAAACTTTCGGGTAGTGTACTGTGTCCAATCGCTGCAATGACGACAACAGCCGAACCATAACAATATCTGGAACTCAGCGCGTGTCCTGTGCCTTGCCAACCCCAGCGCATGGCTATGATCAACATTGGCGGCATAAAATCGGCTCCAGATCACGAGGCCGCTTGTTCTGGCTGCGAGTTGAGAGGGTGAACTCTGCTCGTTTTTCTTTATTTTTTTTCTGCTACTTCGATTGCGTGTGGTGAAAACGAACGGGTATTTCACAGATCATTAACGTCAGGGATTCGTTCTAAGCGGTATTTGCGCAAAATACAAATATCAGTGGATCGCCCCTTTTAAAGGGGGCATGCAAACAAAAAATACATTTTTTGAAACAGCCTGGTTGGGAAAAGGAAGTCATAAAAAAAATTGACAACGAAAAATTAAAAATTTCAGAGCTATATTTACGGCACCATATGAATTTGTAGTTGGCGCCAGCGGCCGCCGCGGAACAGGGGCCGCGATTTTTCACGTGGTACTTGCGCTCTTTCGGAAGCTTCTTATGGTCTCTAAAAGTTTCTTATTGATCTTTCTTTCAAGTGCAACAAAAAACGAAGATTAATAAGTAACTTTTAGACCCCAAAGGAAGCTCCTGAAAAAGCGCAAGCAGGCGTGATAGATCTGTGCGCCGGTCAGATGATGGCGGCGGCGCCGCGGAGCAGACGAACTTGCGCGGCGGCGGCGGCGGTGTGAAGAAACGCGTTGAAACGGCGGCGCACCACGCTCAGCGTGCGTAAAATACACATGCAAAGGAAAAACAAATTTTTTTTTTTTTAAACAGCTCAGATGGAAAAGGGTCATTCCACGTGAAACGTCCCAGACGTTGCACTCGACCACCTCCGATTTCTAAAAAAAAAATTCACGGGCTTCGGCCGCAATGTCCGTAGCCATCAACGAGGTTGGTAGCCATACCCTAAAATAGTTTTGACGAAAAAAAATTGTGATGTCGTGAGCGCGATTTTAAATTTTGAAAACAGCGTGAAACTAGGCATCACTCAATAATTGACGAAAAATCTTTTTTTTTTTTTTATGAAACACCTAACAATATTTTTTTTCTTAAATTTGCACGGCTGTCGACTTACAATGTGGTTGGGTTTGTGCAGTTTTGTTTAATTTATATATATTTTTTTTTAAATACATAATTTTATTAAAAAATAAACATTTTTGTCATTTTATTAAAATATATATATGATTGTTCCCAGGACCTAATATAACTTTCTACTGGCTGCCCTCTAGGTAAATAATCTATAAAAATATTTTAAACCGCTCAATTAAACATCTTGCAGTAAAAAAAAAATCATGAAGTTGCCAAAAAGTGTGTTTTGACGCATAAACAGCCGTTTATTCCACCCTGAGGTGGTCCAAGTAAAAATACAAAATATGGTGGGTTCGGAAGAACGATTGATCGTCTTTTGATCCTGAAAGTTTAATCAGAGTAATTTTTGTTTAAAGCGAGAAAACAATTTTTTAAGTTGAACTCTCGCACCACTACCCGGCGTCGTTTCTTAACGCCTCTTCGCCGCACAGCACGCCTCCTGCGACGATAGCCGAAGCGATTAGGTCCAAAGAAACAACGGAGTTTGCTGCCCGCTTCCCCTCGTCCTTTTTGTGACTGTAAGGGAAGAAACGGCGGGTATCGTGTACTAATCGGAGGTGCCGCCAGTGCGTCGCCATAGCAGGCCCGTTGTGCCCTTTGTACCCAAGGACGGCTCATCACACTCCGAAACGCGATGCCTAATCGACGGGCGGCATCAGCTGACGTGGACTTCTTTATGCCATGCCAAAGGTCCCACGGCGACCTCCGATGCCTAAAATAAAATTAATGGTTCTTCACCATAATGTTTGTGGTGCTTCTCTAAAATATTTTTGACGAGAAACAAATTTCATGGGGTGATGGCGGTGTAACGTTGAAAAACGAAACTAAAATAAATGGTTGATTGACGGGCCGACAGATGGAGCCAGAAGGTTATCTAATCTACGCGCGCGCTCTCTCCCTCTCTCACGAGGGAAAGCGGGACGCGTCTTCCCCAAAAACTTCTGGCCTTGGAAGGATATAAAAAGAGCCGCCCAGGCGTACTCGGGCGGTTGTTCGTTCCTCGCGACAGCCGGAGATTGCGTCTTGACCCAAACCTGACCTCTCCCGGCTGAAGCGTTCGGCGAGCTCTGTCGGCCCACGCTAGAGCAACCTTAAAAGTTACTCCTCGTCTGCTGTCGTTAATTTTGCGCGCGACAAATTGCGAGAGGTACGGGGTACTCGTCGAGATGCAAGACGACTCACGCCGATCCCGAGGACGTCAACGTCGCGATCGCCGAGCACGCCTGCAGAAACAGCAATCCGCCCGGTCAAGCGAAGAAGGAGGCCGCATCGACCCGAACAAGAAATGGCAGGACGAGGATGAGCAAGTAGCTCGGAACATCCATCAAAGGTTCGCGAGGCTCTTCGAACTTGCCAAGCGCTGCTGAAAGGATAGGGAGGAAGGCGACGTTCGCGAGTAACTACTCTCTACGGAGTAGGCTCGTATCCGACAACATGAGCACCGAGGACCAGCAGCCACCGGTGGAGAGGTTCATGCGGCCATACGGTCCACCGCCGCATTTCAAGGGGAGACCGGACGAGGACTTGGAAGATTGGATGCTGCTGTACGAACGCTACGCCACAGCATTGTCATGGACAGAGGCGCAAAAAGCAAACAACCTGGTCTTTGCGCTGGAGGACGAGGCTCGGCACTGGTTCTCCACGGCTCTCCGAGAAGCGACAGCTGAGGCCCCTCTGACAACCTGGGAGCAGTGGCAGCAAGACCTCCGTCGGGACTTCGCCGGAGAGCACGTGAGAGACTGGGCCTTCATGCAACTGCAAGAGCGTCGCGAACAGCTGAACGAGACACCTCAGCACTACGTTTCAAGCATCCTTCAGCTGTGCGCACGGGCAAGCCCGACGATGGCTGACACAGAAAAAGTTCGGTGTCTCCTGCGTGGACTGAGACCGGAAATTATGGAGAGGGTTGCAATCTCCAATCCGCGCACCCCGGCCGACTTCCTGCAACATCTCTAAAGACTCACCCACGTCGGTGCAATGGCACGCCAAGCGCTGTTGACGATGCCAACACACGAACTTCCCGGGTTTGCGGCGCCTTCTCCGTTCTCCTGTCCACGGCCCACAACGCAGGCGAGTACACCCGCGGCGGACGCCGGACTTCGCCCGAACCCCTCTGACGCCTTCCACGTCCAGGGACCAGGGGCACCGCAGATAAGTGAGAACACTACGGCCATCCTCGGCGCCCTTCAAGACAGTGTTCGTGCTCTCACGATGGCCGTAGAGCAACTCGGACGAGCACGCCAGCGCTTCCCGCCGCGTCTCTCAAGAAACCAGAGCGGTAACGTCGTTTGCTTCAGGTGCCACCGCCCTGGCCACATCCAGCGCCAGTGTCCTGAGATCGTACCTCGACCGACTGAGAACAGCAGGGATAATTTCGACCGCGACTCCGCCACTGCCCGACTCAACAGTTTCTCAGCCCAGCAGGGAAACTGAGAAGTAGGGGTCCACAAGCCGCACCCCTAAACCACCAAGGAGGCTCCATTTGTGCAGCATACTCGGCATCACACCTCATCACACTACCGGCGACGATCGACGGCGGAGACGTCGAGGTGATCGTGGACACCGGAGCCACGGCAAACATTGTGTCCGGAAAGTTTGCAGCTCGCCTGAAAAAGGCGACCCAGCCAACCAAGTCGACGCTAAGAAGTGTGAGTGGGGAGCTGTTGAGTAGCTGTGGTGAGATGGTGTTGGAGATCGTGATAGGACCAGTGCACGTCCGCACCGAGTTTGTTGTGCTCGAGGAGTTTCCATACGACATCCTGTGCGGACTTCCGTTTTGTGCGGCCGCACAAATGGTGATAGATTTCCCGGGGAAGAACATCGTACTCCAGGGACATGCACTCCGGCTGAACCTTGAAAGCCCGCTCGTCGCCGCCCCACCGTCTGCACATCGTGCCTACTGCATGGAGACGACCACTATACCAGCCTGCAGCGAGGTCCTGCTGCCGGTTACCATCACCGGCCAAGGAGCGTTTCTCATCGAGCCACTCCCGGAGACGTCCCTGACCCGGCCAAGCGTTGCAAGAACATTAACTGAGGTCAGTGCCAATGTTGGATATGCACGTGTTGCAAACCCGTCTTCGTCACCCATAACGATA